GGAAGAACAAGTCAAACCTCGCCTCGCCTGTCAGCCGGCTGAACGAAAAAAAACAAACGAAAACAAAAAGAATCGACGAGTTTTGCGAACGCGCCGTTTAGATTGGCCGGCCGGTGAGAATGAGAGATGTTTCTGGACGCCGCTCCCCGTCATCAAAGCGCGCTCGGCCACTGGTGACGTCACGATGACGTCACCATGGCGTCACTGTGACGTCATTCCGAGCGGGACTCCATCAAAACCAGTGGCGCATCATCAGAGGACGCGAAAACGGCGAAAAAAAGTGGACGCCCGCCTCGCTTCCTGTTTGCGGTGTGCGGGACGCGGTGACGCGTGGTGATTGGAGGGCGAGTCCGGAAAGGGGGTCTCCATCTCCCTCGCGCTCAGGGGGAAAGGGAGACGGACAGACAGACAGACAGACAGACAGACAGACAGACAGACAGACAGACAGACAGAGAGCAGGATTATAAGTGCAACGCCGCGGCCGGCGTCGGGTCATCTCCCTCCACGCCGCGGTGCTGTCCATTTCAATAATTTCCCGGGCTGCGCGTTTTATTCCGGACTTTGTTTGCCGATGGCCCCTCCAGACGGCGCTGGCGTCGCGTCGGGCCGGGCGGAGAGTGGCCGCGCGTTTTAATTCGTCCGACGGAGAGTGCAGAGCGCACAGTGGGCCAGAAGACCGGTGGAGGAGGCTGAGACTCCAGACGCGTTTTGAGCTCCAGAGTCGCTAAATGGGACTCGAACCGAACGTGTGACCCCACCAATGGATTGCTCTCCGAACGAGGAATCCATTGGTGGGGTCACACGTTCGATTCGAGTCCCATTTAGTGACCACGGAACTCAAAACGGGTCCTACGCCTCAGCGGAAGGATAAGGACCGATTCACGATGCCCCCATCAGAGGGCAATGCATTGCAAGTCAATATTTTAAAAAATCTCAAATTTAAAAGGGAAACATTTTTTAGGGGTTCCGACGAAGGAGGACCCCTATTGCCCGGGGCGCTCAGAATTCTTCTTCTACGGACCCCCAGGATGGACATTTCGCTCCCCCCATATTTAAACCTTTTCATAATACAAAAAAAGTCCAGAAAATCTAAAAATTTATCGTGGAAATTTTCCGTAAACGACTAAAACATAAATTGCAACAATCAAGCACCCCTTTTCCGTTCACATTTTCCAGAAACGTTTCGAAGAAAAAATGTGCCACTCCTCAAAACTAAACTTCCTGCCTCATCAAAGTGACAAAAAAATAATCACTGTTCTAAGAAAATGATAAAAAAAATGAAGAAAATTCTCGATGAAAACGTCCCCCTGCCATTATACCAACTGTCAAAATTTTAAAATCCAT